ACATCTCGACGTGCCGTCCGTGCAGTGCAAGCACGACGCGATAACAATCGCTTGTAAAGACATTTCGAACTTCAAATAAACATTTCAATAAACGCTTACGCGAAAATACAGTGTGCGTGAATTTAATTATTCCCCGCTGAAGTACAAAACAAAAATAATAAAATTAATTATGTATTTTATATATAATAATTTATATATAATCACACGTTTCTTTATCTTTTTCGTTTTAAAAAGATAGACATAATTAGTATGTCATTAGAACTTTTAAGAAATTTTAAGAAATGATGTGCATTAACAAGCCCGGCGTTCTTTGTGTGGATTGTGTGCAGCAACTCACACCCCAAAATCAGATGGGTGTGGATTTCTACATCCGGAAAATCCACACGCACGTTTATATATTAACTATGAGACTTTAAAGAAATTAATGTAAATCATGAGATTTGAATATCTGACGGGGGTATTCAAATTTCGACCTCTTCATTGGCTTCACCCGGTGTACCGATCCATGGTATGCGGCATTTGCGGCAACATGTTAGGCCTCTCACTTTGCGTGAGAATTGAACTAACAAGTATATTCACAGAGATTTAGCTGAGGCTGTAATGGATGACATTGATAAAATTATTAAATGAATTTATAAGTAAAAATAATTATAGAGCATATACGTTTTTAATTGTAAAAAATAAATAATTAAATGTTGAAAGAAAAAATTTGTGTACTTGAAAATTTTATCAACTACTTGTGGAGTGGGGGAAGTGGGGAGATTTTTCATCAGAAATTTCCACAATATTCGATACTCAGAGCCGAGACAAATCGCCGGGCATAGAAGAAAACCTGAGAAATAAACAAACAGTTCCATCATCCATGACAATGCGCGATGTGTAATTTATAACCATATAGTTATTTCCCGAGTTATAAATGTACATAAATTATTACCATGAATATTATATACGTAAATAGGTACACGTGTCAGGTGCATATTTATGTAACAAAAAACAAACATTCAGAAGAATTACTCAATGTTATCAAACATATTATTGTAGAGGCCATGCGAGATATCAACACGGATGTTGATGTGTAATAATTTTTTACAATATCCAATCACACGCAAACTGCGCGACACACATTCGTCGATCTTGAAACACAGTTTATTGCATGAAGCCGGAATCACTTTATAACAACTTAAATTGATTAATGATTTAATCTGATCTATGATGCGCCGCTATACATTTATAAGATCTCCTTCTCTCCCTCCCCGAATCTGTAAAGAATTTATTGCGAAAAATATCACCTCAACTCTCAGCCAAGAATCAAACCCGAATCTCTACGTTTGTCGGACGGGCGTCATACCATTAGACCACCGAGGTATGTATGTAATATATACATATATATATATATATGTATATATATATATGTGTGATAATGTTCTTTGCAATGTAAGTATACACTTTAAATTCGTTGCAGTGAAAGGTCGATTTTAGGGATTTCACTGCTATGCAGTGATTTTCACTGTATGTAAAAGTGAGTTTTAACTTTTGTTAAAGTGAAATTTTCACTTTATTAGAAACAGTGAAAAATGTCACTGTTATGGTAACAGTGATATGGTTGCAATAGCATGATTCACTGCAAAAAATGTGATTAACTGTAGAAGAAGTGAAAAGTTACTTTCTATTAGCAGTGAACATTTTTTGACGGTAAAAAATAATTCATTATATTAATAGTGAAAAGTAATTTTACTAAATTAAAAAATATAGTGAAGTAATTGCCTATTGAGAACCGACACGGGTGTTGATGTGTGAAATTCTTATCGTTACAATATCCAACCACACACGATCTGAGCGCCGCACGGTTTATCGGTCTTGAAACACAATTCTTTGCATGAAGCCGGAGACTTGTAACAAATTAAATTATCGAACAATTTAATACTTTTCAATGCTAATATGCATCTATAAAATTCCCCTCCTCATAGGCAATTACTTCACTATATTTGATTATTAAATTATTTCTTGAAGCCTATTTTAAAATTCATTCGAGTGAAAAAGTCACTGTTAACTGCAGTGATTCAAGTTCACTTTAAGTTAAAGTAAAATCTCACTGCAAAGAGGGCAGTCGCATTTTGACTATTTGTTACAGTGCGAACAGTGAAATTTCATTACAACGAATTTAGAGTGTAATAAACGATATAATAACGTAAACAATTCAACGTGTCTTTTCAGGCGTGAATTCAAATAATTTAGAGAAATAGGCTCACAAGAATATATCAAACATATTAAAGTAAGAGGCCATATGCCTCGGTGATCTAATGGTATAGGATGCCTATCCAACAAACGTGGAGATCCGGCTTCGATTTCTAGCTGAGAACTGAGGTGATATTTTTCGCAATAAATTCTTTAAAGATTCGGGGAGAAGGGGAATTGTTGCGTATATATTAGTGGGCCCACTACGTAGTTCCATACATTCCGCGTCGCTGAGCAAAGCGGTAAGCAAACACAGCGAACAGACGATAAAGAAAGCATCGTTTTGAATAAATAAAGTAATAGCCGAGTTCGGCGCCAGTCTTATCGCGTTCGACGTCGTGTTCGACGTCTTTGTCTAAAAACAAAGAGAACGGCAGGACCAACCCATGAGTCTCGCATGACTCAGGATTGGCCCATGCTCGCCGAGAGTTTCCCTATACATATATATAAAGGACAGCCCCGATGGGCCCAGATACATACGATTTTTGTAGCGAAGCGTACGCATAGTAAATGTTAAACCGAGATCTCGAAAACGATCGTGAGACCGAGTCCTCCGCGAGACGATAAGAGGCCGAGTCCTTTCATAGAGGCCGAGTCCTCACATATACCGATAATAAGGAGGCCGAGTCCTCTTATAATCGATAATAAAGAGGCCGAGTTCTCTCATATATCACATTATTGCCGCGACCGAGTTCGTGTAAATCTTTTCTTGTGTATTATACAAATCACATTAAGAATAAACATTTTTAAAAACTAATATGTGGAGTGACCTTCCCCGTATATACGACCCAGTAACTTATACAAGCAATTATCGAAGACGCAGCTATACGAACAAATATAACTTAATCTTAAATACAGATATACGTACAATGCAGTTGAAATCAGTTCATATTGTATTCCGTTTACATTATTATATATATACACTGCTGACCATTAAAATTGCACCATCAAGAAAGACATACAGATATCAAAATGACACGTAGGGGAAAATCGGGGTGTATCGGACACCTAAGCTTTTTCACATATAATTTTTTTTTAAATAGCTAAATTGGAATATACTGCGTTCCATAAAAAACTTTATTCTTATACCAAAACATCTCTTAAAACTCAGTTTTCTAAAATAAAAATATCTATCAGTTTTTTATACTTTTTATAGGCACTATATTTTTGTCATGTTTTTTTGTGGAGGGTTGTATCGGACATCATATAAATTATATTATATATAATTATATCTGTATATTTTATTGTATATTATTATTTTATATTATTATATGTAAGTATAACATAAGTCAATAAATAAAAATAAACACTTTTTAAAGTAACAAGTAAATAAAATGAAAAGTCTTTGAAAATTTACATTTCGTTTCATAAAAAATAAACAAAAAATAAAAATTACATCTTATTTACTTTTTTTTGGTACAAGCATCACATTGATAAAAAAGATTGCTATTTTCAAAGCAATGGTGTGAGAATTTAAGTTTTATTAACCGTATAAGTTGTCCGATACAACCAGCAACTCATCTGTCCGATACAACCCAAACAGCAACGAAAAATCGGCTGTCACTTGCGTATTAGTAAGCCTAACGAGATTTATAGCCTACCAGTTAAATGATAATAAATGTTGTTTCTAACCATAAACTAAAAATCTATTATACTTACTTTCAGACAAAATACAATAGCCAGAAGTTAACTTTGTTCACTCAAAACAACGGTTCAAAACACAAAATTTATTGCCATTTGGCAACACCACTGCCGTCTGTCCTAATATTGGGTCATCCGTACCCCCATCCTTCAATCAACACGCCGATTGTCTCACAGGTGCTATCTCTAGCGGTAAATGCTTGAAACAACTCTTGTCCGATACTATCGCTTGTCCGTTACACCCCGAATTTCCCCTATATGATAAATTATTTGTGATATAGGATTATTGTGATCTATAAAATTCAAAAATGCAACTTGGTATTTTTATTAGAAGCACAGCTCATTTTCATATTTTACTATGATTCATCAACAATTTTCAATATGATTTAATCTAACGCGTTTTTTTCCACTGTTGCAATTTTAATGCAATGTGTAATTCATTCAAATTATTTATGTCTTATTTACGTTAAATATTTCTAAGCCTCTTTTCATAACATAAACTATATGTAGGCATTGCGTGCGTTGAATATTGTTTTGTATTTCTGTAATATTTTGATGTTTAATATGTATATATATTATATACATATGTATTATTTTATACACTATGTGTGAGGTAAAGAATATTTTTACGGCTTTTATATTTCATAAAAATAAAATCATTTTATTCATTCCTGGATTTTATGGATGTCTTGTAATTTATTACAATTGTATATTGTAATTTGTACAATTACGATTTGCATGTCATTAATTCTTTTCATCGCGCGCGGGTCAATGAGTCGATATTAAATGATTAAATGATTGTGTATATTAAAATACGTTAATTGGAATAAAATTCCGATAAAGTGTAACCTAATGACGATTGTTCGCACTTGTTGCATCTCGATGAGACGGTATTCCGAAAAAGATTTTGATCGATTCACGGAGACGAAGCACTTAATTATTACAATACACATCTGGGACCGATCATCAATACGAAAATCGCGCAATGCCATAATGATGCATGGTTCGCAGTGAATATTTTACGGAACACTTTCGACAACTCACGCGCGAAAATTTTTGAGCAACAATTTACAATAATTGCGGAGCGATTCTAAATTTCAACGCGACCACATGTACCGCCTTTTACGGCCGATTAGCGGTGATCAATATCGTGACTGTCGGAAACATTAAGGCAGCGCCGCGGGCCGGTCAATTGTGATAACCGGGTTTCGCGTAAAAATGATTGAACTTACAATTAGTTGATATGTCTGCTAGTTACATACATAACTAATATAAAAATAAAAACGGACTCTCGATCTTCAAATTGACAAATAGAAACGGGCAAATGAGAGTCAAGCGCAGTTATTATGGCGCAAATTATTTCTTTAATATTTAATGAGATATATATTTTACATACAAATTTAAATAAAGTATCCAAACGTTTCGACTCCTCTTCGAGTCATCATCAGTGTGTGTCTTCATTAAAATACATCCCGAACTCAATGCGGAAGTCAATCAAAATAAGAATAAATCCGAATGTATATATTCCACGTTGATTACAACGCCATATGGTGATTATATAAAGAATAATGCTTGCGCAGGGAGCCGTAAAATACAATAAGATGAAACGTGGATCATATCGTGGTTGATATACAATAATTGTTAGATAAAGCCAAGGGCTCACTTTAAGATTGACGATTGAATGGATACATCGCGTTATTTGCGAACTGAAGAGATCTTTGTTGCGTGATTTAGTTTCCTTATTAATGTATTTATCTAATAATTATTGTACATTGACCACGACCTGATCCACGTTTCACCTTATTGTATTTTACGGCTTACGGCTTACGGCTCCATGCAAACATTATACAGGGTGTCCCAAAACTCTTAATTAACATTTTAAGTTGTGAAAGAAAATGAAATTTTGAACTAAAAGTTCCTTTATCAATTTCGGCTCAGATCATTATTTACAGATTTATTAACGAATAAAGTTAATCAATTACCATAGATTGTGCTTATATTGGCATAAATCTGGAAGAAAACATGGGGATAAATGCTGTATATATTTATAAACGTTAATCGTTTTAATAGATTTTCTGAGAAGCCTGGAACAAAATTTACAAAAATTATTTTGAGAAAGCGTTTCAAATTTTACTTTTTTTATTATAGAGGAATAATTCATTATACTTTCATCCATTATACTTTCATTATATGTATAGCGCTTCTAAAAGCGCTCATACACGTGATCGCGAAATTTCTCCGGAAACCTCAGAGCTTCTCGAACCGTTCAGCGGAACGTGCCGCGTAATTATCAGTACGAAATTATATGTGTTAATTGCGATGATGCGCGTTTGAAATGTCGTTTAACAATTTGATTTATACCTTATTTTAATTATTTTTATTTTTCATTATTTCATTTTTTCATTTTTTTTGTTATTTTTTGTGTATGTAAATGTAATTTACAATATAAGTCTTTCTGTTCCAAAAACGTATGTTAATCCGAGTCAAAACCATTTGCTCTTTTTAATGATATTTAATATCTTGATAACCGAAACCAGTTTATGTTCGGACAATTACCAAACAAAATATAAACTTATGTAATATTAATAAAATATTTAACTGTAAGTTATATCACAATTATATACATGTATACTTTATTTTTAACTGTTGACGTTGTAATTATAAAGATTTTTAATATACTCCATATATAACGTACCCCATATTTAATATACCTCATCTTTAATATATCCCATTTAAACACTCTTTTACAAAAAAAAAACGATACACTAAAAATTTAGGAAAAATTTACCAACCTTTAAATAATTATAACTTGATAAATATAAATAAAGATAAAAATACAGTTAAACCTCGATAACTTGAATCTCAAGGGACCAGAAAAACTATTTGAGTTATAGAGTTTTCGACTTATAGAAATTTGAGTAAAACTAGAAAGTTAACATATGTATATGAAAATTTGACTTACAGAGGTTTGTACGAGAGCTTATAATTTTCCGATTATAATGGCTTTTAGAGAAAAAAAAACCAACATTTAATAGTGAATTATTTATTGCATACATGTAATAAATACATTTGTAACCATAAAACAAAATACCTGCAGGCTATATTACTCACGGTTACACATAATTACAACTTCGAATTAGAGAGGTAGCGA